TTCATAATTTCGTCCCCGTGGATTTACATCATGAAGTTCGCGATATGAAACGGCCGGCAGCGTCGCCGACGAGCGCGGAGGCGTCGCGATAAATTCGATCATTTTAAAGTTGCAGTCTCGTTATGTGCCGCGTTATACGCCTGTCCCCCGGAACTTTTATTCGAGAATTTATATCGCTAAGTACGACGGGCAAACAGCGTGCCCCGGGACCGTTGCACGATTATTCGGAAACGAGATTCGTTTTTGAGCGCGCCCCAGATTTTTCGCGCGAATAAAAACCGCTGCAACGAAAATGGTCAACGAACCTTTATTTTATTTCGCTTCTTTTTCCTATTTACGCAAATTATCGCTCGTCGATAACTGTACCTTTTATTGGCCCATAATCGAACGGGTTTTTAGTAATATTTGAAATAACGGCGGATTTCGTCTGCTCGATCAACCGAAACGAATTCGCGAATTTCGATATTCGCGGAATCATTATTGGTCAACGATCGCGAGTTTTATTAACCTATTTCGACGATCTTTTTCATTTTTTATTTTCTGGGGGAATCTTTGATCGTCCGCTAGATGATAAAAATCTCCATTTTTTGATTTTCTTTCTTCGAGGAAAGATTTTCACGGATATTTTTTAAAATTCGAAATTTTATTCGATTAGAGGTTAATCGATATCGGGAAATTTTGAGAGAACCGTGTGGACAGGAAGGATGTAAACGATAATCGGAATCATCGAATGGGAACAAGGTTTATTCGACGATATGCATTGAAAAATTAACACAGTCGCGATTACGCGTTTTATTCGCAGAAATTTCGTTCGCATTTAACGAACCGTGCTGGGGATTAATGAAAAAAGAAAATATATTTCGTGTTTACATTGTATTTAAACGCGCAAAATAATCGTGCATAAAATTTGAACGAGTTATAAATCGTTGGGTCGTTACGATTCTCGTGATTCGCAAATGTCTCTTTAAATTACGCGGAATTAACAATCGTTATTATGGACACGAGGCTCGGGCTATCATCTAAATCCAAAAACAAGAAAAAAAAAGAAATGCAAAAATTCTGCGCTAAAAATCGCAATTTTACTCTATAATTACCATATTTGCTATATTTATATACAAAAGGAGGAAGTAGAGATGGAAATAGATATGTACATCCGTGATTAAATTGCAAATTATCGTTGCGCTATAATACGTCAGTTTTATTTTGCTTAGAATCAAGATTTATCGCCTCGAGTTGCGAACGATACGCGGAACAAATTTTTCCTTTTTTCCCATTTTTTCTTCCCCTTATTCCCCTCACCTAGCGTTTCTCTGCACGATACTCGAACGAATATTTCCACGTCGGGGAGTTGCAAGGAAACAAATTTGGGTTTACAGCGGGGAACTAAACCGGGTCGGCCGATAACCATCAGTTTCGCAAAAATAAGCAGCTTGGCCAATTCCAGCCCGATACAGCGGCTATTACGCTCAAATTAATAATCAATGCTAATTGCCATTGTCATTAGGTGAACGACCATTATACGTCGCGAATAACCACGTCGTTCGATCTACTTTGCCGCGGTGCAGGTTCACCCGCGACGAATCTTTCGCAGCCTCGAAGCGGACATTTATTCGCGCGGCTGGTGGCTCGTTTCGAAAAATATCGCCTTCTATTTCTGTCGTCGGCGATCATTATTATTCCCGATATACGCCGCGGATATCAATAATGCGACTATTTCAATTATTCCGCGTGGACATTTATCTTTAATCTGCATGTGAATTGTTAACAACGCTACCGATAATCCGCGCGCGTCGTGGAGCTGATGGTTTGACGTTTCCAGTGAATTATCAGTATCATTACCTCTTTCTTTTATCTTTTACACGTTTCGAGTGAGTTATTAGTATTCACTACCTATTTCTTTTATTTTTTAATTAGTTAGTTCCTTTCACTTTTCTTTTTCTTCTGGGGTACGGTTGTCATGCGGTGCTGGGCCTGTTAGTAGGCTCATCGGTAAGACTGCCTAGCATAGGAACTGTTTTAGACGAGGAATATTTACAATTAGATAGCATAGGAACTTCTATTTCATCCACTGACTACGGCAGATTTTGATACGTAGCGGCCGTACTATACAACAGGAATTGAGATACGATGTGCGCCATTTTTGTGAAAACGCTGAGCGGCTATAGGCGTCCTCCGTGTCACAAACTTAAAATTTCTAAGCACCTATAAATGCCCTATGTGTCACAAACGCAAAATTTCTAAGCGACTATAGGCGTCCTCTATGTCACATATGCAAAATTCCTAAGCGCCTATAAGCGCCCTATGTGTCACAAATACAAAATTTCAAAGCGCCTATAAACGCCCTATCTGACACAAACGCAAAATTTCTAAGCGCCTATAGGCCCCCATAGTAGCCAAGGGGTTAACACGTTAAGTGTCCAGCCCGGTTTGCTCGCCGTTCCGTTCAGGCCCAGACTCGTCCATCAAATGGACCACCGATGACGAGCGAAATGTTTATAAAACTCGGAGATACTGTAGCAATTGTTAGAACAGGAATTTCCAATTGTTAGATCCAAAGATGGCGAAGAATTTAACACCAAAAGTGTAATAGGAATCTATCTATTTCTAATTTAATTAGAAATCCTACAATACTTATACAGGTCTAAAATAATTATATTATATCCTTGTGAATTACACTAATGTCCCTACTACTGCATTTTGTTTAAGACTCAGAGTTTCTAGAAAACAGAAGGTCTTTACAAACTAAAACCCGAAGTACGGCCACCCTATAGGGAAGGTCCAAAGAACCTCATTCCTTATATTTTCCAATCAAAAATATCCCTATATGTATTCCAGAAAATATGTTCGTATGGATTAAAAAATAAAATCCTAATACGTCCTTGATGACTTTCCTATAGTTATAATTATTTCTATAAATATCGCATATATCGTAGAATCATCCTTCATCTATTTCTCAATTCAAATAATTTCCCCGACTCGCTGTATTTCCGATAACGAATAGCAATTGCTAAGAGACGAGAATGAAAATGCAATTTTACCTTATTTGCACGGCGTCCTGCATCCACTGGTCTCAGGCGACGCTAATTTCTATCACACTTTCTCTAATTACGCGGACGTGATACGCGACACACGTATGCGATCTAATTAACACTGGATTACGCGAGATCGCGAAATCGCGAGGCGCATTTCGCACGCACGACGTATTTAAAAGGGTACGGAAAGGCGAGACAATAGCTCGTGCTCGTTTCGTCGAAAGAAATTTCCAGAACTCGCAAAAGGAAAAGATTATCGTCGCACGGACCGCGTCTCGACTTGCCCGAGTTCAAAACCTGACTGAGCACGTGCGTTTAGGCCTAGGGGTCGAGTTATGTTTGTCTCCTGCGCGAGGATCGGAAGTCGGTGCGTGTTTTTCG